GCTCAACTGCTCTTTTTTTTTTTGCGGTACACGGGCCTCTCACCGTTGTGGCCTCTCCCGCCGCGGAGCACAGGCTCCAGATGTGCAGGCTCAGCGGCCATGGCTCACGGGCCCAGCCGCTCCGCGGCACATGGGATCTTCCCGGACCTGGGCACAAACCCGTGTCCCCTGCATCGGCAGGCGGACTCTCAACCACTGCACCACCAGGGAAGCCCTCAACTGCTCTTTGATTCACACACTCACCGCTCTACTGATGACCCCCTGCGCCTGGTCCCCTGCTAGGCACTGAGCACGTGGTGAATATAGACGCGGCCCTGCCGGCCCCCAGGAGGCTCAGGCTCCAAGGTCACTGCCCGCCCCCCCGCCCCACCAAATCCCTCCAGGCCTTGCTTCCTGCCTCACTCACAAAGATCCCGAAGGCCGACATCCTCTTCCCAAATCGCTGCAGAACCCACTCCCACATCGGGGTGCTCAGCACTGCCGAGACCTGTGAATGGACAGAATCATCACAGCCCAGGACACGCCGCCTGCGCCTCTGTCAGGCCCTCAAAGCCCTGACTTCTAGGAGGGACGCTTGATGTTGACCTCGCCACCTGGCTGGAAACAGTGGCTGTGAACTTTATGACCCTGGCCCCAATTCCACCCTCTGCTGAAATGCAGGTGACCAAGACCACAGCAGAGTCCAGAACCCTGACCATCGGAAGTCCGGTCACATGTGTCACGTCAAGGGTCACACATCCCCAACTCAGGCCCCCGAGTGCCCTTGCCTCTACCGCCCCAGGTCCCCTCACCAGGATGGTTAGCACCAGGCTCTGCACATGGTCATGTAGCCGGGAGGCATGTGCACAGAACAGGACCAGGTAGCTCTGCTCCACCTGAAGAGGTTGACAGGAAGTGGGCGTGTATGGGAAATGGCAGAAACGTGGAAGTCAAGGGCAAGGCCAAGGTCAACTGGACCTCAAGCGTCTGGTTCCTACCGCCATCACGCAGTCCCCTCCCCAAAGAAGGACGCTTATCGCTGACACAGGTATAAACGCCATTCCTTGTCCTGCTCCCCAGCAGGGCTGAGAACCACCCCAGACAGCGTCAGCTTCCTGGTGTCTGGGCCCTGACCCTCCCCAGCCCCACAGGCTCTAGGCAGGTTTCTCTCCTCCCAGCACCAGCCTCGCCCGGCGCTTGCCAGCCACTGGTTTCTCTCTGGTGCGGTGGGGACGAGAGACACCTGAACCTACGCAGGGTCAGTATGGCCAGAGCCAAGCCAGTGGGGATCAGCCTGGCCAGAGGTACCTGAACGGCTGCTGAGATGAACAGGAAGGAGATGACCAGCTTCAGGTAGGGTGGGTGCCGCACTGTGAGCCGCAGCCCAGCCAGGAAGCTCAGGCCCTGGCCGGAGGCTCGGGCAGAAGCATCTGCAACACAGGAAGGGGACATCTTGGCTTGGTGGAGTTCAAAACCAAAACCCACGCCCAAGAGGAGCCCGGCCGCAGCTTCTGCTTCCCACACTCTGCCTGCACCCCGCACCTACCTGGTCGCTCCTTCACCCCCAGGCAGAGCAAACTACTGCACACAGGGTAAGTCACAGCAACCACAGTGGCTGCAATGGAGTAGAGACGAGTCTGTGGGACAGGACAGAACTTCAGTGGGGGTGATGTCTCCAACCCACGGAGGTGGGGCTACCCAGGGGCCGGGCAAGAGTACCTCCCAATGGGAGCAGAGGGACCCTCAGCCCAAGCCCAAGGATACTGGGTGCCCCTCCTCCCAATCAGCCCAGCAGGAGAGGGAGATCTAAGGATCCAGAGTGGTCCTTCTGCTGACCCTCTGCCTCCTGCGGGCATCCATGCCACCATGGGTCTAAGCCCCCTTCGCCTCTCTCTCTCTCTTTTTTAAAGCAAACGTTCATTGGGGCTGATTTCTGCGTGCTAGACCCTGAGGTTACGGTGATGAATAAGTGATCCTGTGCATCCACATTAAGGGGCTTGGAGTGGGTGGGGAGAGAGATCCATGAGCAGACAGTGTGACACATAATGACGCAGATAAATGTCAAAACCAGAACGGTGCTACCTAGCATTCAGAGGAAGACACATATGTAATAAAATACATTTAAGGCATGCATGGGAGTAACAGTCACCCAATTCAGGATAGGGGTTGCCTTTGGTGGGGGAAGAAAGAGGGCGATGGGCAGGGCTTCACCAGTGTGGATCCAGCACAGTTGCACAGGGTCCCACATTCAGAAGGCACTGCACTTGGGAGTTAATGCTCTGCTGTCTTGAAATTCGTGATGATTTTATCTATGAATTTGTGTTTTGTAAGTGAAGTCGATGGAACAACAGAGCTGGAACTACCACGAGGCACCTGAATGCTACTTGCCTTGGCTCACACGAGGCTTCGCCTCCCGGGGAGGGGGGGGGTTCTCAGTCTCCTGCTCCCTACTTCTTGGCATCCCAGGCCCCACCTGGCCTCCTGCTCTCCAACCCAAGGCCACTGCTACCCTCTGTTCCACCCTCACCCAGACAGTGACCCAGTAGCTCTGGGGAGGGCACTTGTAGAGGCCTCAGTGGGGCCTAGGCGTGGAAGCGGGGAGGGTAAATCTGCGGGTCGCAATCCCTCTGATCCCAGGCTCATAGCACCATGACGGGGTTTGAGGGCAACTGGGCAGAGTCTCTCCCCGACCCCGATTCAGGCAATCCCTAGATTGGGGCAGCAGGCCACGGGAGAGGGAAACTGACTTCCCCGCTCTCTCTGGGGCTATACAGCTTCACTTTGCCCTGTACTCAGGCAAATTCTGTAGCTGGGCTACAGATGGGTCTCAGGATGGGTGGGTACACAAGGACTTCATTGTAATGTTTTCTTACGGGTGGTAAACCATGGGTGTTGGTGGAATTATTCTCATACCATTAATTCCCAAATGTTGGTGGAGGTGAGTGATGTCATTTGCTTAAGGAGAAAGGGCGGGGGGGGCGGGATAGAAGATGAACTTGATGGATAAATAGATGCATGCCCCCTCATTGCTGAAAAGGGACCTGCTTTGAGGAGACAGGAAGGGGTACTAACCCTTTCACACTGGGGGTGGGGTTGGCGTTGGCCGTTCAGGGATGGGTAGGACTGGTCATAGGTCAGGTTTTGCCCAGAGCTCTGCCAGGACACCAAACCGTTCTGCTCTCTCCCCTGTCCCTGCCTGTGGCCCTTCCCCACCCCTGTCCCTTCTCTGGGGTCTGCCTCCTCCCCTCCAGATGGCCTGCTGATCTGTTGTTTGACTCCATGTTTAGAAGGCAGCCAGCAGAAGCAGATTTAGCAGGGAGGACGGAGGGCATGGGCTCAGCTACAGGAGCAGGGAAGGAATGAGAGGGCATGGTGTGCAGAGCTGAGCCCCCAAACCACCATGAAGAGACCTGGGGGAGAAACAGCCCTGGAAGAAAGAAGTGACCCCGAAGTGGGCGTCCCAGTGGATCTGGGTAGCCTGGGCACTCACTGCGTTGGGGGAGACGGCCACTTGTCCTGGGAGCGCAGTCTCCTTGCACCTGTGGGACCCATGGGCACCAGACACGATGAGTCCATGGACAGTGGCTCCCATCAGCGTCCCTGCCATCTCCAAGGTCATCCCTGGGACACAGCGTGGAGCAAGGTGACAGCTCGTGGGGCCAGGGGCAGAGCCATCCCACCCCATGCACCCCACGCCTGCCTGCACTCACGGTACACGGTGGCCGAGTCCCGCTCCCTGGGGCTGGGGGTCAAGAGCATGGTCAGTGCTGTGTAGGGCACCTGGAAGAACTGGGGCACCGGGCAGAGCTTAGGATGATGGCGCCTGCCACCAGACTGCCAACCCAGGCCAGCAGCTTCCCGAGGCCAGGCCTGCGCCAGGCTGGCACGTCCCCACTGATCCCCTCAACCCGGAGTTAGGGGCTGAGGGACAGGAGGGGCACCCAGCCTAGAGCCCATGAGAAAAGCTAATGGTTGGTGGCCACCTGGTAAGCAGGTGGGCAGTGGGGACCTGGACCCCTACCCCCAGCACACACACACTTCAGAGGGGCCTCCAGCCAGCACTGGGGTTCCAGGAGTCCAGGCCGAGGAAGGGGGCCACCTGCTTACCGTGGCCAGGGCCTGGAACAGGCAGTAGAGGGCTGTGTACCAGAGGCCACGCAGCCTGGTGAAGGGGGGCAGGAACCACAGGAAGAAGGAGGCCAAGGCAATGAACGGCGTGCAGCCCAGCACCCTGTGGAAGCACAGCCCAGATGGAGCGCCCCCACGGCACCAGGACAGAGGACGCAAAGGGTGGGCCTGGAGCAACCTCACCCTTCTGGGTTCAACCTCTCGGCCCCTGGAGAAGCCCTGGGCTGGGGCTCTCAGGGTGGGAGCCATGGAGGGCACGAGGTGGCCAAGGGCGAGGAGGTAGCCAGGAGTAGGGGCTGGGGCACTTAGTGGCTGGATTGTGCCATTCCCTGTTCCCGGGGCCCGGGGGCACAGGCAAGTCACATCTTCTCTGTGAAACCTTCCAATACACCCAGCTCAGCCTGGCCGCACTCCTAGACCCCCAGGGCCAGGGCTGCGACTCTTGGAGGGTTTGTCCAGCTCCGTGCCACCAGGTGAGGGAGAGGTCTATGAACACCTGCATGACTCAGTCAGACCCAATCCATTCCTGTCACCTACTGTCCAGACTTGCCCTCTAACCATCCACTAAGAAGCAGATGTGACAAACACAGTGACCTCAAGCCAGGGGTGGGTGCCAGGATCCTGAGGACCATGGGGCTGCTCACCAGGGCATGAGTCGTCCAGACCCTGTCCTCCTGCTTCTGTTGATGAAGAACCCAGCCAAAGGGTCGGCAGCTGCCCCAGACACCTTCCCTCCAAACAGGACAAGTGACACCTGGGCAGCAGGGATCTGAAAGGGACAGGGGAGGGGATAGCCAAGGCCCGGCAGAGTCAGAGAGGGTGTCTAGGCCTGCCCGCCCATCAGGAGGAAGATCTGGGAAACTGGGGCCAGAGCCACAGTGCAAAGGTTTTTTGGTCTCTTCCCCAGGACAGGAATCCAGAGAGCTCCGAGGGCGTATGTGCACCAGTAGAGAAGCGGGAGGGAGTGATAGCTGTTCCCTAGCACATTCCTGTTATACTTATGCCCGGTCACTTTCGGAGAAGACTTGAGAGATCTTCCCCTGAAGGGCTCAGTGCAAGAAGGGTGCACTGAAGCTGACAGTCAAAGGCAGACCTTGTGTTTCACAGTGAAAACGTTTTATTGATTTTTCTGATTACATAAGTGATACACTCATTATAAACACATTCAAACAGTACAGAAAAATATTGAGCAAAGCTCATCTGAAATCCCGCTATCCTGAGACAACTGCCAGGAACATTTTGATCATCCTGTCCTGCGTTTCCTTATGTGCATTTGCAATTTATAATTTTACACAAATGGGACCGTATCAGCGTCATTTTAAAAAATCACAGAAAGATAAATAAATAAATCATGGATACCTTATTAAAAAGTTCTTTTTTCTTTACCCTCTATCCTCCACCATTCCCTCCTATAGCCAACATTAACACTCTGGCGGATATCCTTCCGGAATTTACTTTCTCCATGCTCATCCTTTAATCATGTACAGACGTATATACATCCATATACCCATGCACCCACATATATGGGGCATGTTTTTGTTTTGCTAAAATAGGATCATTTTATATACCCTTCTCTAAAACTAACTTTTCTCACTTGACAGTGCATCACGGAAATCCTTCTGAGTCAGCTGGTATAGATCTAACTCATTCTTTTGAGTGACTACACAGTAGTCCGTTATGTGGACACAGCCCAACTTATTTTCCAACTACTTCTATATTTGGGGGGCATTCATGTTGTTTCCCACTTTTCCACTACAAACAGCCTGCAGTAAACATCCTTGAGGAGGTTGCCCTCAATACCATTTGGTTTTTTCTCAGGCTTGGGTCAGAAGTACCATCTACCAAGGATGATGGGGGTGGAAGTAAAGGTGGGCTGAAAGGACCAGACACCAAGGAAGATGGAAGCAGGGGGCCCCCGAGGCTGCTGCCCACACTCACCTGGGCCACATCGAGCAGGAAAAGTTGCAGGTAAAAGGCTATGGCGCTGGAGGCCACCTGGTTGGGGACCCCTCCAATGCCGTAGCACACCTTCGTACAGAAGGAGAGGCGACCAGCTCCGCTGTCCTGGGGGAGACACAGGAGCTAAGCCCCCACAGACACACAACAGCTCCCTCCAGCCCCCTGACTTCCAAAAGCATCCTGAGGTCCCTATGTCTTGAAGGCTTTTCCAGCAACCTCTCAGTCCTAATTTGTCCCAAATCATCTTAAAAGGAAGTGAGACAGAAAAAGGAAAAAAAAAAATCCTAAACCATGACCTCTAAGCATTTCCAGGGAGAAGTTCTTCCTTATATTTCCCCGCAGTGCTTCCTGCTGCAGTCTGTTTTACTCTCCAAGTCAGCAAGCCAGAGTGAACTGGGGGTCAGGAGGCCCCTAAATTTGCCACCAGCTTCCTGTGTGGACTTTGAATAAATCACTTTATCTCTCTAAGCCTCATCTGTCAAATGGATATTCCTGCCAACTTCAAGGGATTTTTTTTTTACATCTTTATTGGAGTATAATTGCTTTACAATGGTGTGTTAGTTTCTGCTTTATAACAAAGTGAATCAGTTATACATATACATATGTTCCAACATCTCTTCCCTCTTGCATCTCCTTCCCTCCCACCCTCCCTATCCCACCCCTCTAGGTGGTCACAAAGCACCGAGTTGACCTCCTTGTGCTATGCGGCTGCTTCCCACTAGCTATCAATTTTACGGTTTGGTAGTGTATATATGTCCATGCCACTCTCTCACTTTGTCACAGCTTACCCTTCCCCCTCCCCATATCCTCCAGTCCATTCTCTAGTAGGTCTGTGTCTTTATTCCTTTCTTACCCCTAGGTTCTTCATGACATTTTTTCTTAGATTCCATATATATGTGTTAGCATATGGTATTTGTCTTTCTCTTTCTGACTTACCTCACTCTGTATGACAGACTCTAGGTCCATCCACCTTACTACAAATAACTCAATTTCGTTTCTTTTTATGGCTGAGTAATATTCCATTGTACATATGTGCCGGATGTTTTGATGAGCAAATGAGGCAATGGCTCCAGGAGCTGATTGTTAAATATTCGGGACTTTTGCAAGCCGGACTTTTGTTACTGGCAGCCTGAAATCGGCCATGGTGAGAGTATTTACACCACAGAAATCAGTAAACAGCAAAAATCAGAGTTTTTTTTTTCTGGAGAGACTGTTTACCAACCCACCACTAAAATGAAGTAATGCTTATGACCCCAAATATATGTGTGTGTGTGTATATCCCTATATATATATATATCCCTAAGCTACCCAGTGAACTCCTGACTCAAATTAAACTGTCTACTCACAGCCCCACATGGTTGCCAAACAGGCATTTCAGCTTAGCATGGTCAAAACACAGCTCCTGATTTCCATCCCATTGTCTTAACCTCTTAACCCTGTTGTCCCCATTGCATTAAATAGCCCCAATGTCCACTCAGCAGCTCAGACCACAAACCTAGGAGTCATCCTTGATTCCTCTTTCCCAATTCCCCTGTCTAATCTATCAGTGAGAGCCTCCTAAGTGGCTTCTCTGCTTCTACTCTCGTTCCCTGCTATCCACTCTCCGTCCAGCAGCCCAACTGATCTTTTCATAACATAAATCAGATTGTGCCTCATCTCTGCTTAAAACCCTCTAACAGCTTGCCATTACAGTTTGAATAAAACTCCAAGTCCTTCCCATATTGCCTACAGGAGCCCACCCAATCAGCTCCCACTCACTTTCCCACCTCACTTCAGATAGCTCTACTATGGTAGCCTCCTCCTTCTTGTTACTCAAAATGACCTTTTCTGTTGCTGCCTCAGGGCCTTTGCACTTCCTGTCCCTTCTGTCTGGAAGGCTCTTCCTCCAGGTCTTTGCAAGAGCTGACTCCTTGCCATTCAGGCTGAAGCCTAAATGTCATCTCTTTAGAGAGACCTTCCCTGACCACCCAAATCTCTTTCTCAATTGTACTAACTACAGGATATATTCTTATTCATTTCCTGCCTCTCCCCACCAGCATATAAACTCTCTGAGAGCATGAACTATATAACTTTGATTCACCACCATGTCCCCAGTACCTAGAACAATGTTGGGCTTATAGACAATATATATATTTGTTAAAAGAATAAATGCCATGCCTTCCCGGGTGGCGCCGTGGTGGAAAATCTCCCTGCCAATGCAGACGACACAGGTTCGAGCCCTGGTCTGGGAAGATCCCACATGCCATGGAGCAACTGGGCCCGTGAGCCACAATTACTGAGCCTGCGCGTCTGGAGCCTGTGCTCCGCAACAACAGAGGCCGCGATAGTGAGAGGCCTGCGCACCGCGATGAAGAGTGACCCCCACTTGCCACAACTAGAGAAAGCCCATGCACAGAAATGAAGACCCAACACAGCCATAAATAAATAAATAAATAAATACATTGTGTATTATTTAAAAAAAAACAAAAAACAAAAAACAACAAAGAGTCGTGTACCAAAATGTTCATTGCAGCTCCATTTACAATAGCCCAGAGAAGGAAACAACCTAAGTGTCCATCATTGGATGAATGGATAAAGAACACGTGGCACATATATACAATGGAATATTACTCAGCCATAAAAAGAAACGAAATTGATTGTATTTTTTAAAAAAAAAAAAAAAAAAAAAGAATAAATGCCATGAAGACACTGTGGAAAGTGCTATTTCTTCCATAGACGCTGGGAATCCTTCTTTTTCATCTTTTGCCCGGGGATGGGAGGGGGAGTGGAGAGGACCATGGCTTCACCCATTTTTGTATCTTGCCAGACACCCCAAATGAAAGGAAGGTCTTCCCAGATAAGGGTTTATCAAGTCCTCTGCACTCTTCCTACCCACACATGAGGCAGGATGTGGTCTCCTTTTCTGATATTTTTGTGAACGCTATTTCAACTTCCAGAAAGCTTAACAAGAGGCAGAATCCAACATGATAACTCTCCCCCGACCCTGCCCCCTCCATAATGGGACTCTGGTTTCCCACTAAACATACCTATCAAGTTTCTGATACATAGAAGGCACCTGAAACAGACATTCCAGCTGAAACTAGGTATATGATTCAATCTTGGAATCCTGAGGAAGGCAGTTTTACCTACTTAAATCATAAGCCCTTCACAGTCAACTGAGATCAAGTTTCAGAGTTAGACAAATTCGACAAATTTGAATGCAAATTCTGTCTGCCATTTCTAGCTGTGTGACCCAGGACAAGGTACTCAGTGTGCTGAGTTTCATTTCCTCACATTTAAAATGGGGATAATACACCTCATAGGGTTGTTATGAGAATTAAATGCCAGCATTTCATGGACCGTTTCCCCTCTAGCCATTCCTCTCACGCTGAGTTTCTAAATTTCCCTGGGAAGTGAGAGTCCCCAGAGGGCCTCTTAATCTTGCTTTCTTTCTTGGAGGCCACAATCTTTTGCTCCGAGGTGCTGGAGAGGAAGCACTGAGTCAGCATAGGGAATTGAAGCCACAGACAGAATGAACGCGTTGAGCACAGGGCGGGCAGTGGAT